ACGTGCTCTGCAGCAAGAAAGGACAGTGTCTCACTGTGCAAGAGCTGGAGCCGTTCAGAAGATGCAACAGAGCAGTGGCACTGGAGGCTCCTGTGGTTTCTGCAGGATGGGAAGAGGGAGGTGAGAGGAAGCACAGAAGCTGGATGTTGCTCCAGCAACTCACTTGCAGTGGTCCAACCCACAAACAGGCTTGTCTCCTGGTTTCTTCTAAGAAACCACTAGTGCCAGAGAAAATGCAAACTCGCATTTGGCAGACCTGTTCTCATGTAGTCTTTCTTCTGAGTTTCAAATGAAAGAAGAGAAAGAAATTTTAAAAATCCCCAAACCTTGAAATAGAACCATAGGTGTTCCCTAGCCATAGGACTCTTGATTTTTGTTCTTGCATGAAGTGAAAGCACACAGGGGTCTTCAACATTTGTGCCCCCACACCTTACGCTCTAGAAGGGGAAAAAACCCAACACTCTTTGAGTGAATCTTTATGGTGATTCAAAACACTTCAGGTAGATCCTGTCATATGCTTTATAAGTTCCTGACTGATTGTGTGGAATTAAGTTATTGGGCAGAGAACCAGCTAATGGAAACACATTGATGAAATCATTTTTGAGGGACATTAAATGGAACTTAAAATAAAGCTGAAATGGCTTTATGGATTTTTCAGTCAAACTGTTTATGAACATTTATCGGTGGTAAATTACACTGTCAGACGAGGGAATCAGTAGGTATGGCTTTTAATAGAAGTTGCTCTGATACAATACTGCAAGAAAGAATAGTTTATTGCCTAGGGATGTACAGTATAGTATGTTTAAATACAAGTTATATTATTGTTTTCTCCTGTCTTTGGCTGTTTGCAGGTAGGTTACCCTTAGCACCAGCAGAGAGTCTCATAAGACGAAAAAAAATATTTTCAGTACTTTGCAATGAAATAGAAATTTTGCATTATGCCTTTTTTATGGTAGATAGCAAATGTTTTAATAACAGATAATTCAGGAAGCAGAAGTTGTGTTGTACAATAATAAATGTAATTTATATTTGCTTTATACTCAGTAAAGGGAGAAGCGGGATATAGTAGCTTTGACTGAGAAGGCAGACTGTAGCAGGTAATTCTAGAACTGTTGGAGCTGTGCATTAATACCATTTGCCAAAACACATCATTTCTCAGTTAGAAGACAGTGAAAATAAGAGTAGGGGAGTGCAAGACTAGAAGGCGCTTTTTGGTCCTGCAAATGTTGACCCCTGGTTTTGAGACACCATGCCTTATAGTCATGAGTTTGTCAAATCTGTTAGATTATCTGTCCCATCTAACTGAAAAGCTGCTCCCATTTTTGCTCCTCTTTTGCCTAGAAAATACTTTTCCTCTCAACTATATTTGGGACCAGTTTATTGCCATTTGATTTCATGCCAACATTGGCCTAGAGCCAGTAGTTCTTTTTCATTCATGTTATTTATCCTCCTAACGTATTTATACACAGCATTCGTATCCTTCCTTAGCCATCATGCTGCTAAGCTAAAAGCCAAGTCATTCCGATCTTCTTTTGTAGGATAGACATTTTCTGTTCATGCAGTCATGACAGTATTTCCTTTCTGTACACTGCCCTCACTGGGGATGAGCTGGGGGCTACATAATAGTTCAAGGATTCACTGATGACTCTTAAAATAACATGATTTTTTTCATGTTCCTGTTAGACTTGCTTCTTGCCTTTCAGTTTAATGCCACATTTGCCTTCCCTTTGGCCCTGTCCCGCTGCCATGAATTATCAGTAGCGCTCAGGCTTTATGCAGGGACATTCCCACCCTGGAAGCATCCAACATGGAGAAGAAATTTTTACTACTTAGTAAGCACATGACCTTGGACTTCATATTTTTAAATTTCACCCTCTCTCTCTTCTTCCACTTGCTAAGCTCAAATGTTTGTGTCTCCGTGACATCCCAGTTCTCCTCTGCAGAGCCAGAATATCCCAGTTTGGTGTCAACAGTACATTTCCCTCAAACTTTTCTTCTGTTTTTGACAAAGCCTTTAGTAAAACCACTAAATGAGGTCACTTCCTCCAGCCTAATGCCTTCACTTTCAACGCCATCCAACATTGATGCTGTCACAGCCTGGCTAGGGACTTCCATACTGGCCAAGAGCCAGACTTTGACACAAATGTCCAGTGTAGCTGGATCTGTCCAAGGCAGTTTTTTCCATCGGGAGGCACTACGGGAGCTGTTTGTCCCCCAGGCAGAGATGAGACTCTTCAGCATAGAAGAGAGGGCTGGTGTGAGTGGGCACATTTGAGATCCATAAATTTCCAGTAGCACAAAAAGAAGAGGATGGTTATTTGCCAGTTTTCAACATCCAAGGCAGAACAAGCATCCAGTGAAACCATCAGGCAACAGGTTGAAACAAAAGGAAGAACTTCTCCAGAGTACATAATTCATCTGTGAGACCCCTGCTACAGAAGTGGGGACACTTAAAATGATAATTAGGTGAGGTGAGAAAGGTTATCAGTGTCTCTCCAGTGGCTGGATGACACGTCCAGCTCAAGGAGTCCCTCAGCTGCTGACAGCCAGAGTCAAGGAAGGGTTGTTTCCGTCCTGGTCCCTCAGCACCCTCTTGTGCCTGATGTCCTACTCAGTGACAGACACAGGTGGCCCTTTGGGAGATCTTGTGTTCTTAAAACAGAATAATAAGAAATTATATTGTCAAGGCAGGAAGCCTTATCAAGGCAGGTAGTGTTCACTTCTAATTTGTATCAAAGGAGAGAAACAGAAGGATTTGAAAACCTCATTCCTGTTCCCAGTGCATAAGGGACTCTTCCATGGATCTGGGAATAAAGAAGACAGGAAAAGAGAGTTTAAGAACTGTGTGTAGGAAAAGGAAAAAAAATGAGATGCAGGAAAGGAATAGCAGGCTTTTTTATTTTCAGCCTTCCTGAAATGACTACGTTGGAGTCTTTGCTGGCTTTGTTTCCAAAGTTGCTTCGTGCATTTAAATTAAATAATGAAAACCTGAAAAACCCCAGGTCATTAGAAATACGCTAAAGTTTCTCCTTGATCTGGTTACGTGCAGATCACTATTTTGGGCTTTGCATATCTTAAGTGGCTGACTTAAAGTGTGTACAAATGAATTAAAATTATGAGCATAAAGTCACCATTTAAGCAATACAGGTGGAAAGGGTACAAGAATACTTATGTGCACCTCTCCAGCTGCACTTCATCATCTTCCTCCCCTCAAAAAATCATTGTTTTATTATGCAGATATGTGCAGACTGTGTCTTTTGCTAAGTTTCATTACAAAGCTAATAGTCAAGGCAATTGTGTGGATAAGCAGAGACTTTAATCATTTGGAAACCGTTGAGAGAAGACAGATCTGATAATAATAACCTTCATGGCTGGCAAGTTACAGCTGCTTTTGACGACTTATAACGATGAAGGCTTATAGTAATGTTAAGAGCTAAATATCTGTATTGTGCCATAGGATCAATTTCAATTCCCAAGTATAAAGCTTCAAACTTTAGACTGCTTTTATCATCTTTGAGATTACTTTGTTTTTCTCTAGGTGGAAAAGGAGTTAGGGTTTTTTTATAAATGTTAGAGTGCTTATTTTCATTCTGATTTTTTTTCTTTAACACAGTGGGACAGCTTAGTTAATTTATTTCAGGGCAAAGAAAGTGTAGTCTTACTGAAGCCACATGTGTTACTTACTTATAGCAGAAGTTACAGAAGGATGTTGTACTAACATGTTTTGCACCATCCCAAAACATTTTTTATTCTATAGTGGGGACTTCCAGAATCTACATAGGTAATGACTATAGTAGCACATATTAAAGAGAGATCTCAAACAGTATACGTAAAAGGCCTCATCAGGATCCATAGTTTGCACCAATAGCAAACTTAAATTGCCGTGATGACTACAGATAATGACTGACTAATTGTTCACAATGCATCTGAACACAAGACCACAGGTCTAAATTTAAGAATACAGGTCATACTTGCTTACTGAGTAGGCAGCTATATATTAGAGAACATGAACATTGCTTTCAAGTGCGCTGCTGTCTGTAAGGCAGTTTTAGTACCATTCTTAGCTGTGTTTTAATTGGAAGTTTCAATGGGAGCGAGAACGTGGTGTTCTGCAGCATAGAGTGTCAGTGACAGCACTTGGGGAATCCTGTGCCCCAACATAGTGTTTTAGAAGTGGAATGGGTTCAGAAAAGAGCAATGAGTCCAGAAAATCTGCTTCATAGTGAATGATTCAGAAAGCCGTATCTTTTCAGAGAATCAGAGAAGGTTGGGGTGGTTGGGTCACTGTCAGTAACTACCTACAGAAGGTGGAGAGTCTGTTCATGCAGAGCCAATTGTCTGGCACATGAGAACATGAGAAGATTTAGTGGCTGAAAGCTGAAGTGAGACCCATTCGGATTACATGTGCATTTTTAAATTAGAACAAATAGTGGAAAGGCTTATCAGAGGATGTCATGGGCTGTCTTTGGCTTAAAACAATGACATGGGGAGAGCACATCTTTCTGGAGACACAGCATAGCTCGGTTACAAAATACGGACCCAGTGAGTGCAGGAATGGCTGGGTGAAATATCCCAACTTGAGCCAAAATTTGGGTTTCTCCTTTGAGTATCTCTCAGAGCCCAGCAAAAGAAGTAATGTCATAACATGCATCCAGGTTCCTTAATGAGGGACATAGCTGGATTAGATGCCTGGTTATCAAGGGTTATCTTTTCCAAGCTCCCTGCATCAGTTGGGTTGGCAAACACTTCCCACAGCTGGAGTGGAAGCAGCTGCTTTTACAGACAGGAGTTCAGTTTACAGGCAAATCCCAGTTGTAATTAAGGCAACCAGTTTCAGATGATCAAGGTCTGGCTTTCCTGGGAACAGAAGGGATGAGTGCAAGAGAGAAATGGGGTCAGGCAACGGGTTAAATTGCACCTAGGTATGATTTGACAATCACTCCCCTGATAACAGCTTATCATGTTTACAATTTGTCTTCTGTTTTGTTTTGTGATTTCAGGAGCAGAAGGCACAGTGTTCCCTAAATCTATAGAAACTCCCAATGTCAGGGCAGACCCCTTCAAGGAACTAAGGTAAACTTTGGAATATGGTTTAACGGTAACTCAGTGGCGCCTTGTTGGAGTTGTGCGTGCTGCTGCGCATCATTTCTGCTTTTGCATAAGAGCTTGGGGATTCGCTTTGGAAGGCATCACTGAGAGGATGCCATGGAAAAGAAGGGACGTGCCATGTTTACCTGTAATGTGACCAAGCTAAAGGCAGTCATGGGTCATGATAGCGTCATTTCTCCTCTGTAACATGCTCTGTGTACCCTGGGCTCAGTGTTTAAGAAAAACTAATAGAGAAATCTTCCGGTTGTTCAGGGAGGTACCGGTGCTGAATCACAAGGAGTAGCAGCAAGCAAAGGATAATGCTCTTCAGCGTTATCTGTCTTGCAGAAATGCAAACCCTCCCTGACCTACACAGGGTCTAGCTGTGCATGCATGTAACTGCTGACACTTGCAGAGATGCTGCTTTCTGACAGCCATATATCAGGAGGGAAGAAACAGCACAGGTCCTGAGAACCAGCTTTGCCCTCAAGCTAACGCTGGGCACTATACCTATTTAAAAAAAAAAAAAAGTGTGGCACTACAAGTTAGTTTGGATGACTAGTCTCTGAAAAGAGACTAATCATATGGCCTAATAAATTATTGACTGAATCTCCTGATATCTTCTGACCAAGAGGGCTGTAGGGGTTTGCCATCAATCCTCTAATTATCGTTCCTTAGAAAAAGAGAGAGAGAAAAGGTGAAAAAAATCTCCAGAAGACATCTGGCCCTTAAGTCTTGAGTTGCAAACTCTCCTACCCTGGAAGCTGCTGGGGGTGAAGCAGTCTTCAGACAGCTGAAGCTGTGCATGAGCGCTGCAGATATACTGCAGAGGCACCGAGGTGGGAGAGGACCTCTCATTAACTCTCTCTGTCCTGATACCGGGGATAGTTACAGCCCAGCTAGATCACCATGGAAGATGAAGAATATCCTGGCTGCCTTCCCTTGGGTCTATCTTTATCTTTCAGTTTCTCTGTGGAAACACTCTAATTGTTCCCGGTTTGCACTCTGGGGATCATATGTCAGCCAAGAAGTGCAGCGGTGGTGTGATTCAATTTGTTATGAAAGTTTGTTCTCCTTCTCCGTGCAGTGACTTTAACCCTGCCTTGTGGTTTTCCAAATCTTGGTATACTTCCTTTAAAAAAAGTGGAAACAGCGTCTTTGCTCAGCCTGGCGTGTGGCTGCCAGGGCATGACCAGGGTCTGCTGTGATGGAAGGAGGCCCAGGAGGGCAGGATGCGGTGCTGCAGAGCACACACACCCTCCGTTTCTCCAGGCAAAGCAAGCACACGAAGCAGGCAGTGGGTGGGTGGATTTGTAAGTGAGGTTCAGGTGACAAAGGCTTTCTGGCACAGCCCATGTTTACTGATATTGTCAGCAAAAAAAAGGAAAGAAAAGCAAGATCATGGTTAAAATATCCAATAGCATCTAAGTAACTTACAAAACCATGTTCCATTTTCAGTAGAGCAGAAGAGATGCCAGATTTAGGTCCAAGTATGTGGTTACTTAATATTTTTCTAAAGATGGGAGGGGAATTTAATCCAAATAATTGTAGGGTGTCATATTAGAGGGGACAAATGTGAATTAAAATGGCCTTAATCTGATTGCATATGCTTCCATTCCAAAGAGAATTAAGTAAATGAAATTGAAATGAATTAGTGGCCGTATCCATGCAAGGGGTTGATTCAGTGTATTTGATCTACTTTAAATTCATGTTGTTATTTCACTTGTTTTACATAGAGAGCTGTGAGGTAACTGACTTCCTTGGAATTTAGTGGACTGGGTGAAAAAAACCTGTAAAAATCTGGTGGTTTTTTTTTTCTTTTTTCTTTTTCTTTTTCTTTTTCTTCTTCTTTTTCTTTTATTTCTTTTTCTTTTTCTTTTCCTTTTTCTTTTTCGTGAAAACCATTGAATGGGATTTACCTTGGAAAAAAAGTCCCACAGGATCCTTTGTGTGCTTATGTAAATTTTATCTTGGCAAAAATAAATGTTTTTTCCACCACCCTGAGAAGAAAAGAGCCAACTGTAGCACTGTGTAGAGAAAGAAAGGTTTCCCAAGAGCAAATGCTCTATTACTCCCCAAACCAAGAACCACGCATCTCTCTCTCTACATGTTGGAGCACTGACTGCTTCTTAGGTAAAATGATGCCTTTTGGGTGCAGTACAGAGTTAACAGAGAAAATAATCGTATTCTGGTGGGACATTTTTTGGTACCTTCCTGTTCTGATAGCAGAGTGTGTGCATAAGGTGTCCTTTTGGCTTATTTGAAAAGATGCTACAGTGAAGTGGGACTGAATAAGATGGCAGCCTGTGAGTCCCAAGCTGTCATACATTGCTAGGAATGCAGCATTGTAAACATGCACTCAGTAGCTGGCTTGACTCTAAATGACCATTTTCTGTAATAAATAGTGCAAGCTTTCTTTCCTCCTTAGCTTAAAGTTCTTGAGGTGGGAAAGTGCACATTCAGCTATTGCAGGCTATCGTCAGGCACACCAACCTCCAGCACTCTTCGTAGATCAAATAGTTACAATTAGTTACATGATTTATCCATTTGCTCTTTTCAGTATCATCCTGACTCCCACTTTTTGTTAGGAGAATTCAAAATAAGGCAACAGCGACTGTCACTATCAGAAAGAGAGGAGACCAACTGCTCCTGTCACCACTGGGAGTCAGACCATCTGTATGTCTTCTTTCCCTTCCTCCTCTCCTTAACAGACAGACTGATTTCCCCTGAAAGATAGGCAGTACGCTATCATGCCAGTCAGCTCTGTTTCTTTCCTATATTTCCTCCCATCTCCCAAAGGCCTTCAGTCATGCCCATGTGTCATGAAGACTGACACACTCCAAGCAACAGTACACACATTCTCAACAGACCTTCTGTCCCCATTTAGCTGACGAACGGTCTTCAGTTCATACAGCCTAATTCATTTATTAGTAACCAGATGCTCTACAAGGTGGTCACTGTCCTGGAGAACAGACAAGGGATGTCTTTTCTGAGTGCCCTTTTTAAACCACTTTTGTCTGCAGTGGTTTAGATGGAGAAAATTCCAGTGGCAATATGTATGTAGCTTTTTCCTTACATGCTAAGCCCATCATAAGGCTACAAGAACTGGTTTACTGCTGGTTTGAGCCAGGTCTGGACGTTGCTGCTGAGTCTTCTTAGGATGTTCTCTCGTGCTGCAGACAGACTCATTTATCCTAAAACCATCCTATTCAGTATTAGTTGTGGTAGGAATGCCAGAGCTCATAAATGTCTTGTTCAGTGCAGGGTGTTATTAACAGTTCATGTTTCCTATTTCCATCTAGGATATCCTTTAATAATGATCTAAGAACTAAAGATGGTTGAAAAACTGTTTGATATACTTCTGTGAACATTACGTATATAAAGTAATTTTAGACTCTTGAAAGTTTTGGCAGTTGTTCATTGGGTTCTAAACTGATAAACAGTAAAAAAAATCAAATTATTTTCAAATTCTTGGAATGTTTAACGTTGCCATTCAGTATCATCCCAAAATAGTTTGGAGGCGGGGGGGCTTGGGAGATTTGTTTGGATGTTGAAATACTTGCACTCATCTGCATTGACTCTTTTTAATGCAGGTTTGTGTCTTTGACATATGGTAATATGATTGCCTATGTACAAAAGTGGAATTCAAGATGACCTTTTCTCACTGGATTATTTTAGTAGCACCCAAGTAGCTTGTCAAGATCCTGTCTTGAGAGCCTCTCCTTGACACTGGCAGGAATCACCTGCCTTTCTCTATTTATCTTCTTCCAAAAAGCAAATACATTCCAAGGAGGCTAACAGAAGTTGTCTGACAAACACAAGATCAGCACTCTTCCAAGGTGAAGGATAAAGGCTAGACTAGCCAATGAGTAAGAAAGAAGGGAGATAACTTGAGGGGAGAGGATTGAAAAGCAGAAAGATAAAATATTGGGAGGATGTTGTTAAACTGTTAAGTGGTGGAAGCTAGCAGGGTGTGTGCCAACCAGGCACTCTGTTATAGCATCCATCCCTGTCCCTGGGCTCAGAGCTAGTGTCAGTACCTCCCCAGTGGCCAGGTCATGCTGGGCAGGGGCTCCCAAAGCATGGAAACCTTGTTTAAGGCATTTCTGTTTCCAGAGTTAAATAAAAAGAAGTCAGACAGCATGAAATTCACTCCATGAGGTGCAAGCACACACCTGGAATTCCTCCACAATTATTGTAAGTTAAAAAAGCAGTAAACTGCTCATCCAAGACCAGGAAACAAAGGGATGACTGTTTTTCCTGTAATGCACAAATATAGTTAAGGGAGAATTAATCCCTTGAGCTTGAAGGGGTAATTTTTGACCAAAGTTAATTACGAAGCACTGAAAGTACCAAATGGCAGATGAAATGTACTTGCAGCTTGATTTTATTAGTGCAATTCTACCTTACCATGTACAGTACTGAACTATCCAAATAGTCCAAGTGAGACCTATTGTAACAAAAAGCAATTTAAATACGGTGCTCAGCTAATGTAACAATACTCGTTTTGCAAACCAATAATTCTTAACGAAATAAGGTTTCTATCAGCTGTGTTTCACAAGGCAGCTGTAAGTACGAACACAAATAATGTTTCAGTCTAAACCCCATTCTATTAATAAAGATTAAGAGAAAAAAAATTAGAGGAAATGCAAAAAATGAATGGTATGAAAGTGGAAGTAATTGGTGAGAAATGGATGTAATTTATAAAGACTAGTATATGATATCGAAACACTGTCTAGTTTACAGCAAATATTTGGGTATTCCAGTGAGGTTTCAGCAAGGGAAAAATGGTCGATACAGTCTTGTATCTAGTGGATGTTACTTTCCAATTGATTTACCAGAAAGGATGAAATTCTTTTCTCTGTTACACCAGTGCAATCCCAATAATTTTGATAGTCCTACCAGCTTAAAAGACAACAGACTTTTGCCTTGGGATGAGCTTTACTTTCCACATTGTAACAAATATAACTGTTTTCATGTGACAC